GAAAATTATTAACAGAGGAAATAAATGTCTATGTAATACCTGTTATTGAATGCTAAATTGATGAATACGAAAATTTTTATAAACAACAACAGCTCGTCAATTCTTTTTGAGTAGATGCATCTTCAATTTGCTTACTTCAAATCTTCCTTAGAAATTATAATGCTATTCTGTTCTGGTAAATGCACCTTTGCAATTCAAAGACATAGAAAATTCTCTTCTTCTCTCATTTTACATGTATTCGTGCATTTATAGTATACACAGTTGCTTTATACATGGTACATATATATGTAGGAGGTTCGGTGAAAATTATTGTTCTATAGTTAAATACCCTTTAATATGTGCACAGAGTGAAACTTACTTGCGTGGTGACGCATTCTGAGGCCTGAAGAGCAGCTTTATGAGATTCCGCGAGATGAGGAATATCGTCGTGGTGATAATATTCGTACATACTTGTACCTAGCAATTCTTGCGGTAGGAAACCCAGAACCAATGTTGCCCTGGAAATATGTTATATCATTAAATAATAGCTAGATTATTCAACTGCAATTATTTAAATACACTAGTTACTTTATAGAAAACTTTTGATAAACTAAGATGTGGTTTTCTTTTAAATTGGCTTTTTCTTTATGGAAACCTATAAAGATATAGTATATATATACTATATATTTATAGGTTTCAATATATACATATATATGACTTGAAATTAATATATAATATATAATATATAATATATAATATATAATATATAATATATAATATATAATATATATGTTCCATATAACATTTTATTTTAGGCTCTGTTTTCGAGATGTGGAAGCTCACAGAATGACAAGAAGTAGAATTGGTAGACCATGATCAGACACACCAGTTGATTCCTATTCTATAGTATTATTTTTAAAACTCATTTTTCCTAAAAACGAAGCCTTAATTGTTGATTCTAGATTTTCGTTTTATTTTTTTAAGTTAAAATCATCCCCGAAAGGGATGCCAGTTTGCTGATCATCCTGTCGTGTATAGATTGTACTTTCATAATATACTTTTTATATCAAATTGAACACTGATACTACGTTGCAACTCTTTACAAGGAAATAGCGGTTTACGCCACTCATTGGGAATTCGATTACAAGAATTGGAAATTACATAATAGCAGTGATGATTGCAACACTACTTATGAGAGTAATGACAAGGCGGAGGTCATTAATAGATGTTGTGTAATAACTTGCAATTAACATAGTCGGTGCAAATGTTAAATTATACTACGAAAAAAAAGTCCACGTTCGAAGAAGAAAATAACTGAAATCTAAAATAATATAATATATATATAATTCCTTTCACTGTGTGTGCGTGCGTGTCTAGTCAGTAATACAGAAAATAAGTGAAAACATGTTTCAAAAACCACAAATAAATTGAGATGTACGATTAAAATGTAATAATTTATAATCGACATAAATCATAATGCTTTTTGAAAATGGTTTCCGCACATGTACGACATTGCACGTTGTTAAATGGGTAAGGAGCTGCAGTCTATTATGGTGGAGAATAAATTAATCTAGGCATTCATGATTTGACAAGAAAAAGATCAGCTTATAAATGATGTGTGACTAAATGAGATGGAACGACAGAAGGAAAGGAGAACCCGAATGCATTAATCAACACTAGACAACGAACGCTATGTATGGATGTCGTAACATTATGTATGTAGAGCACGCGACTATGAAGTTCGAATCGCAAAGCGAGCATTTCCTTCGTTGTTTTGTTAATAAATTAGTTCTAGGTACAAGTAAAACGAACAATCCGAATGCTACGATACCATGTACCTTCTCTGCATTTGTCATGTATAAGGACAATCATTAATATGTTGAACAGCAAGCGAAAAAATTAAACGATATCAAAGTAATCAAGCAGAACTTAAAAAGCTAAGATTACTATTATCAATTATTTTTTCAATCTTCTTTACTATGCGCGGATCTGTGAAGTATGCACGGAACAGGAGCGACCGTGTTAAAGTACGCGTAACTATATGATATACTTGAAGCAAATCATAGAGTTTGTGCGAATACTGACCTTTGGTCGACGAAAAGAAATTTTCCATCCATCGCGTGTCGCGAGACAAACTTGATAGGCCTCAATCGTGGCTTCTTCGGCAATGATGTAGATATCGTCGACTGTAATCGGCCGACTGCTACCAAACACGACAAATTGCACGCGTCCCCGTCGCCATCGCCTTCGGCTTCCTCAAGATCAATTTTCGCAGGTGCCCACGATTTTAAATACCCGGTGCACTGGATTACGCAGTATTTCCAATCTGCAAACGAAACTTGTCCTTTGTTTACGTTGTCCATAACGAATAAAAACTATTAGGGGAACCGGAAAGTAATGTCGTTTCTGCGCATATTTCTCTGTTTGAATTTAATGTAAACAAAAACGACATAACTTTCCGGCCCCCCTAATACTTTAGTAAGATTAACTTTCTGTCATGGAGGAAATTTTTTGTTTTCTACCGATACTTTTATACATTCTTGACAAAAATAATAGAATAATTGTAAAATTAATAACAATTCTGCGACGTGAACTTATTAAATCTGCACAATATTTTCGCGTCCGCGTAAAACAGATAAAAACGATCTTCGAAATAAGTTTAAAATATCAGGCTGTTGAACAAATAGCAATCTTTTGAAATGAAAAATGCGAGGGCGCGTAGTCAAGTTCTCTGTCAAAAGAATTCGTATACCGCCGATTCTCTTTCTCGCCATTCCTGAGATATTTATTCTCTATCCCCGTGATTTCTCAGATCCCGAAGCGAATCTTTTGCCGCTTGATTCGTCAAACACGAAAACTGGACCGACGAAAGACCCTTCTCCTTCCTCCTTTTAGAAAGTATTTTTTACAAATAAAAAGGTCTTTTGTTCCCGCTTTTGTCCGCGCCTCTCGCGCAACAATTCGATATTTAATATTCGATATTTCTCAAGTACAGATACTTACAATTAAGTGTTATACAAAGTACAATAGAAATATGTGGGAGATTTTTGGGACAAGGATGATGATTGAAAACCTACAATACGATTATTTTTAGAAATGATTGATAGAACACTCACCGATATTCTGCTGCTTTTTCCGACGGTGACACCCGCTGGTAGTGTCAGCTTCTTCTTTCACCTGTAAATCACTGCAGCGAGCACTTTCCACTTTTCGCTTCATTCTACAGAAAAAGGATCGCCGCGCACCTGGACAGAGTCTTGAAACGCCTTGGGGCACATCTGTCTTTACTGGTAACATTGCTGAAACAATAAGGAGTAATCTCTTACATTTTGAAAAATATTTAAAATGTTTTTCTTTACTTCTATCTATTTATCTTGAATAGCTTGCAGATCATTTTGGCTTGGTTTTCTAATTCAAATTATTGACAATTAAAAAGTATTCTCTCTTATTTTATATCTAACAAAATAACGTTTCGGATCTGATAGCCAAACTATTGGGGTCGTCTTCTTTGAAATGTTATAAGTTATATTACTTTCTTTTATTTGTCATATGCACTACTTACTTACTATGTACTTATACTGATTTCCTTACGGATTACAAGTGAATAATACAATATTGCTATGTAAACAATGCGTTATATGCTTCATTATAATATGTGTTTTTAATTGAATAAATCGTACATTTATTAACCCACTGTTTATTGTGCCGGTGTCACGGCGAGCAAGACCGGAGATAACCACAAAAATATGTTTAGTAAAATATCAGTTTGAGTCATAAATGACTCCGGTACAGGTGGCTGCGTTTCAGTAGTCGGAGGATTAAAACATCAAAGATTTAACCTTTTAGGTACGGCTGAATTTTGCGCGAGGCTATTTCTCTGGACGGCAGAGTCTGATGTGTATTGTACAGAGTCTGATACTGTATATGCAGGGTGTCCCAAAAATGTTTCGCAATCCGAAAGTGGCGGGTTGCTCAGGCCATTTGAAGCAACTTTTTCCTTTACAAAAATTTTCTCCGAGGCACGGTTAACGAGTTATTAACGAAAAACAGTGACCAATGAGAGGCGAGCTCAGCTGGTGCGAGGTGGCCGAGCCAACAGCGCCAGCGGTCGAGTGGTCGAATCCCAACTCATCTGACGTGAGTCGGCCGAGACAACGGCGCCAGCGGTCGAGCGGCGTATCCCAGCTCAGCTGGCGCGAGACGATCGAGTCAATGAGCGGAACTGGGCTTTGTGCGCTGGTTGGCTGGGCCGCCTCGCGTTAGCCGTACTCGATTCTTATTGGTCACTGTTTTTCGTTAATAACTCGTTA